GTACGTACCTACGTACTTTCTACTATATATATATATATATATATATATATATATATATATATATATATATGGAAAATGGAAAAGTCTTCTCGACGTCTATAAGCGAAAACGAACAGCGATTTCACCTACCCTCATCACTATCCAAAATTCATCGCACAGTCATGATTGTCCGATAGAGTTTCATTTTTCATATTTTTTTTTTACAAATCAAAATGATATGAAATTTGGAGCCTGTGTACATCTTAGTGAGACGCACCTACTAAAAATGTAAAAAAAATAATTCGCGAAAAACAAATTGACCAAAATACCTCTGAAGCTAATACCTCCAAATTTTAGGTCATTCCGATTTGTAAAAAAAAATGAAAAATGAAACACTACCCGACAGTCGTGACTGTGCGATGAACTTTGGACGATGATTAGGGTAGGCGAAATCACTGTTCATTTTTGCCTATAGGCGTTTTGTAGTATCTTTCATATATATATATATATATAAGAAATGTGAGGACCTTAAACTTTCTCTTAACACATCTCAAACCCGGGTAAAGGGGGGTTTGTGTTAAGTAGGCAGCTAACGTAAAACTTTGCCAAAACTTCTTATGAATCTGAAATATACGATATCTGCTTTTGCTAGGACGTTCCCCATATGCAACGTATGGTAAAGAAACACAGGTATATTGAGAAATGAAGCTGACCCCAATTAATTGGGAAAAGGCTTTGTTGTTGTTGTTGTTGTTGTTGTTGTTGATGTTGATGTTGATGATGATGATGATGATGATATATATATATATATATGTGTGTGTGTGTGTGTGTGTGTGTGTGTGTGTGTGTCTATGGGTATATAAATATGTTATAAAGTCAGTTTTCAGGCCTTTTGTGTGTTATTGTGTTCTGGAATTTCAAAATTTGCGCATGAATTAGATTAAAACTTGAATTTGAAATGCCAAAACTTTATAAGGTTGAAAGTCACCCCAAATTCATACAAAAGTTGCATTTCATTACTCATCAATGCCAATATGCCATAATCCATAATGAGTAATCTACATCAACGTTAGACACTAGCAGCACAAAGTCAACACATAAACCAAAAAAATAAAAAATCAAATTGGCAACAAAACTCAAAATAGATGAACTAATAAACCAACAAGACTCAGAGTATAACATCACATCTGATGAATTCAAAATGACAACTGAGTTTCATCATCACTCCCAACAACAACATATTCAAAATGATAAGTGAGATTGCAGGTACAGCTAGAAAGGCTAAGTCAGTTACAACCTTCATCTATAGCCACACCCTCACCCGCAACATGATGCGCATGTTTACAAAGAAGGAGATGGTGAGGCCGGGGGTCACGAGATTTGCTACCTGGTTCCTGTGTCTAGCATATATACGAGGAGAATCCAGTTGAGGCAAATGCTGACTTCTGATGATTGGAGAGCATGCCAGTGGGCCAGGGATCAAAAAGGGAAGAAAGCACGAGATATTATCCTATCTAAGTTTTTCTGGCAAGGGGTGAAGGGCGCTCTTGAGGTTGTTTTTCTGGAGTCAAAGTCTTGCACATGGGTGACAATGACAAGCCCTCCATGGGCTTCATATATGAAACAATGGAAAGTTGCAAGTGTGATAACTAAAAATTTGGATAATGATGAGAGCCTCTATGAGGCTGTTTGGAAGATTATTAGGGAGAAGTAGGATAGGCGGTAACACCAACCATTGCATGCAGCTGGTTATTTTTTTGACCCAGCTTTTTTTTTCTTTTATGATATAGGGATATACAGACAAATAACACAATTGTGACGATTTAATTATTGACTGGTTATGCTAAACTCTAATCACGAAATCCGAGACATTATACGCTGATGAACTGATAAATTACAAGTGCGCATTGAGATCTTTTAGGAGTGCAATGGCGATAAGGCAGAGGATCGAAGTTGATCCAGGCAATAATATACTTGTCAAGTTTCATGTTTGTTGTTTTATTTGTCTATTTCATATATAATCATAATTCATAATCAATTCATGGTTAACTATAGATAAATCTTCAACACACTTAATTTGCAGCCCATTGATGGCATGGTTGTAGTGCTCCAGACATGCAAACGATGGTCATTTGGATCTTGCGCCTAAGCATTAACTTGTCTGGTTGTGAGCGAAATAGAAGTGCCTTTGAGATGGTATGTTAGTTACTAACTTACTATGCTACTTAAGTTTTAAACAATTAAAAATTATTAGTTTACAGTTTACTAATTAGCATTAGTAATTACTCATTATAATGTAAATTGTAATATTAATTATTTTCTTTTTATTGTATGTGGTTTCAATTTTTCATATAGGTTCGTACAAAGAAAAGAAACATGCTTGACTCAAAGAAGCTAAATGATTTAGTTATGTGAAGTTCAAGAATCAGGAAAGATTTGTAACCAAGAAAAAAGAGACCCCCTTAGAACGAAAGACATGGAAAATACCATGGAGTGGTTGGTTGAAAATGATGAGGTTAAGGGACATGAGGGGTTGATGTGGGATATGATTATGGAGGCCTCAGGTACAGCAATCGACCCTCCTAGGGCCACTAAATCATCTTCACAGAGGAAGAGGGGGGCAGAGGAAGAAGAGGAATAGGAGGTAGATTCCGACGAAACAGAAGAGGATGAGTGTTGTGTTGAAGAGGGAGATGATTATGACGATAATGGGCTAGACTCCAATGCATATGATACAGCTGGCCCTACTTTTCCTAATGATGACTAAAGACTCTTTAAGT